TGGAGAGGTAATGGCATTGGAGATGTGCAGTCACTTATTCTTTTTTTTGGGGGGGTAGATCGTAAAGATACTATTCTCAAGGCGAATGGGTAGGAAAAGTTGGATTCATTTGAGGAAAAACCTATTTATATTCATTTCTGCATGAGAGGTTGCGCGAAGGAGTGGGAGCAGACTCTCTGGCGTCTGTTGTGTCATGGAATTTGTCATAAAAAAAGGGTAGGAAGGGGCGAGAGAGCTTGGGGTGTTTGACTGATTGGGGTATATTTTTTGTTATTCTATGTTATTCGAGAGAAAAAGTGGGGGATTTTTGTTTCCGGTTGTGTTGTAAGTAATTTCGGTAGATTAAAGCTGCGTCGGGCAGTTGGTAATTAATTGAAGATTGATAGTGGTTTGGAGTGAAAGATCTTTTTCTATCAGTTTCTAATGACTTTCAAAATGAAACGGTCTAATTTGGTCGGATGAGTCGGTTATTTCGAATGGAGTAGTGCCGATCTTGGATAACTTCATTGGTAACATACTTAAGGGGTAACAGAAGGCCAACATTTCCTCGAAATTTTCAAAGAAATTTCCTGCTCAAAGTTATTAGTATTTTTTGAACCCAAAGCACATTGACCTTCATCATCGTCTCCTGTAGATTAATGTGTTTCGATTTGTAACAATATCGATAACTTTGGGCACGAAATTTGCTGAAAAATTTGGAAAATTGGCCGCATTCTGTTACTCCTTAAGACCCTCTGTATTATCGGAATAACTTTGAGGGAAAATCAATTGCAAAAAAAATTTTTTATGACAAATATATTACTAGGGGAGAGTGGGGTAAAACGGCCCCATTTGATTTTTTCAAAAATGTTAACAGATCATTCAATTTGAAATGAAATGGGATAATTTTTTTTCCATGGAAATTACATTTCTTTCTCTTTAGAATGAGCCTAGACTGATCTCAATTAATGAATTTATTCCAGAGTTATGAGTATTACAAAAAAAGTCAAAAGGAGCCGTTTTAGCCCACTCTCCCTTATTTAAAGGTCTAATTTGGTTTGATGAATCAGTTATTTCTAATGGAGTGTCGCCAATTTTGGATAACTTTATTGGTAAAATAGTTGAGACCCTTTGTATTATCGAAATAACTTTGAAGGAAAGTCAATTGAGAAAAAAAACCTTTATGACAAATATATTACGAAGACAACTTGTTTGGGATGAGAACCTCGTAGAATGCACGGACAGGAAAAGTCGGGGAGAAATTATCTAGAAAATCTCGGCAAATTTTACTATACGACAGGTAATCATGGAGCGGAATGTTTTTTAATAAAAAGTCCTTTTTGTGGAGAATATTTTACGATTCGGTCAATAAAAAAATTACATCTGTGGATTCAAGAATTACAGTTCCCTTTACAGCAAAATTTCCCGCATCTGTGGAGTATTTTTTCTGGCAACGATGCAAACGATATATGAGCGGACGAAAATGAAA